CTGTGGGTGGCGTTAAAACTTTCCTAAGGCGGCAGCGAAGTTCTGAATTCATCACTGATATGTGAGCCCCTGTGTCCACCAGTGCAACAACGGGTGTGTCATCTACTTCAACGTCAATAAGGTTGCGTCGAGTCGGCAGCATCGTCAGAGGATTTGGTGGGCAAGTGGTCGATGCAGCATCACCTCCGGGAGCTGCAACATCTAGTTTTCCCGCGGCAGGTGGTCAGTCGGCGACGTTGGTCGGCGAAACTGGGGCGAGCGAGACGATGGGTGACGGGAGAGCGGTGAACGGGACTGGTGAGCATGCGGAGATGGAGAGCGACGACGATATGGCGGCATAGAAGGAACGTCTTTACTGGGGGCCTGAGGTGACTCCCGGTAAGTTTGAGAGCGTCCATGATCCCTCTCTGGCCGATGGGGGTACCCATAGGATGCCTGATGCCAATACCACCGAGTGTTACAATGGTGGGTCACGTGTCCGATACGGTAGCAGTTGAAACAAATCGGGCGATCGTCAGCAGTCCTCCACTCAGCTGGATTGCGAGGGCGCGCCGGAAGGTTTTCGCTTTGGGCATACGAAACATGGGGTCGACGACGGTTGACCGGCAGAGAGGGAGCTGTAGTGCACTCGGAGGCCAGTTCAGCATTGGAAAGCTCTTGTCGCACAATGGCATGTACCAGTGGCACCATCGGAGGGCTAGAGTCACAGGCATTGGAGCACGTGTACGCAAGAGAAAGAGCTTCAAGTTCACGTCCGATTATCTTAGTCACGTGCTCTGCAGTTAACGGCGTCTGTAGCGCAGGCCTGTCTTCGCACGACCAGGTTGCTGCTGTGTTTGGTCGTCGAGTGAAATTATGGGCGATACGTCGACTTTTTGCGGCCTCAAAACACTGGCACTCTTTGATGATGGCATCGACCGTGTTGCAGTCCTTGCATATGAGAAGGTTGAATGCATCATTTGCAATGCCTTTCAATATGTGAGCTACCTTTTCGGTTTCTTCCATACCGTTGTCCGCTTTTCGGCAAAGGGCAAGCGCGTCCTGTTTGTAAGTCACGGAGAACTCTGATGACGTTTGCGCACGAGATGTCAACTCCTTCTTGGCCGCTGCCTTTCTACCCACAGACTTGCCGAAAAGGGCGCGCATCTTTTTCTTTGCACGCATCCCAGCTTCCAATTTCATCTTCGTGGTTCTCGAACCACACTTTTGCTGTTCAAGTAGAACAGGATATTGGCTAACATATGAGTTTCATCCCAGCGGTAATTCTTACTTGTATGTTCGTACAACGGACCATCCTTCGATGTCGACATCATCCATGCCACAGAACGTGCCAGGATCTTTTAGCTGTGGAAGGACAGCAGTTGTTGTAATCGCCTCGGCGGGAGCCGGTCTCTGGTTTGCCATGGTCGAAAAATCCAAGCGTCGGCCTCTGCGCAGCTCCGTTATATCGTGCTGTACCCCACACCACCACCAAATGTTACGGGGGTGAGAGAATGAATGAAATAAATATATTTACAAATTATACAGGGAGAGTCACAGGCAGCTGCAGCCAAGATAGAAGAACAGCAGCAACAATAATACGAGCACGGTCGCTTTCATCGTCTTCGTCGTCTCTGATGCTCTTTCGTTGCCGATGTCGTGCAACAATATTCCGCCAGGCCCAATACTTTTTTCGCCTGTATTTCTGCCCAGTGAGCAACAAATAGCGCAGAAAAGCAGACACGAAAAAGCAGTTAGCCACCTATGTGTATATGCTTTCGCAGTCACGGCAACAACGAAAGATAATCGAAATCTTTTATTGTTCTACATACACATGAAGTTTCTATATTTTGCTAAGTGAATTCATAGTGAAGTGTACAAGTGCAGTCTCGTTGTCACTTCTTGTTCACTCCTTGTGTAGCTCCTCCAACGGAAGCGATAGATGACAGGCATTGCAGACGCCAGCACACGCAGCCTTCTACCTGTTGTGTTCCCACGGCTGCACGTACAATAATATATTAAATATAGTTGAACACACGGGTCTGAAGATGATGTACGCATATGACAAGTACGTGCAGGTTAAT